TTGTGCTGGGGATGTTTTTATCTAATTGGGGAGAATCTTCCCGTATTGAGGTACATCTTGCGGTGTCGCCAAAAACAACCTATTTACAAGGGGGAATCCAACTACCTGAATCTTAACCAGCACAACAATCGATGAACATCTTATTAATTACAGGTATATACATCGGGGGGCGTTCGTAATAATTTGACGTCGATTCACCATGCAAAGTGATGGCTGCGAGTGGGATCCGAACGAAAGCGTTAAATTAACATCAGTTATGGTAAGCGGGGTAGGGGGGATACTTTCATAAATAACCACTAGTATGCTCCATGTTACCAATTTATAGTTTATCGTTGATACAATTAAAATATTCTATTGGGCTTAGACAATCTGCAATATTCCAGTTGGCACAACGGCGAAAAGAACTGGTTTTTTTTAATTATGAGGATTATTTTTTAAATAAGGAAATATAAGTGTTATCTATTATATCTGAAAAAAAAAATGTAGGAGCTTGACATACGAGCGCATATCCCGAATAAAATTAAACGCAAACCCAGCCTACGAACTGTCACCAAAGAAGTCGTCAATTTTGGATTAATACGGGCACAGCGTAAACGTGAACACTCTAAAAACTATTATAGTCGTTTAACCAATTACATTAACAAAAAATCTCAAAACCCGGTGTTAGGAGAGGGATACTGAGGAGCGGGTACGGGGTGTGGAGCTGGATTCCAATTAAGCCTATACCTTTCACCCCACAGCGCAGTAATGGGGGGGAGGTTAGCGAACGAATTAAGTAATGCTTAACGTACCAACATGGACACACTAGGGATTCTGAACACTAGTATAAAATTATACACTTATCTTTTTTTTTTCTATTTTTTTTTTTAATTTTTAAATTATTTAAAACCTCACACTTTTTATCTATCTATCTGAAGCGGATTAAATTTATGCCAACAACCTTAAAGAATATATGGACGTAACAAAATTACAATCCCAAATACCACTACATACCTTCGGTGCGGGGAATACTATCTCTAATTTAAACGTGTATAAATATGATAAATATTCGGGGCGTGTTCTAAAAATTTTTTCAGGAAAAGATGTTTTAATTTAACGTGCGATTGGTATGTCAAGATGTCCCATTTTAAACATGGGCTATAAATTAATTTTTAAAATGCGTAATTGGGCATGGGGCGCGTACTGGCTGATCTAAAATACAATTACACTCTCTGAGATGAGCCTGCAAGATTGATTTATGTTGAACTTATGTGTATTTAAACCACTTTTTTTTGGTCCTGAGACTTCTGCAGGCATCCGAACGGGGATGCGCTTTTCTCTTTTTTAATTGTTTTAGAGGTTTTTAATTCTATTATCTATATCAAACTGGACGGATAGCATTTCAATTAGCGTACATCTTGCGTACTGCCCGAGGGGAGATGTAACAAAACTAAAACACAATCCACTACCATGAAACCTTATCCATAAACCTCTTATCTAATTACAGGAGTATAATAACAGAATATGAAAATATTGGCCCGCGGTCTCTATCCAAAAAATATTATAGTAAAATATTATTGGTTAGATACTAATGTGCATGGGGGTTACTATCAATAAAGTGGTGTCTTCTAGTTGGGACCCAAAAATTCGAATGGGATTTATGTGTATGAATATAGTTTTTATATATGGGCGTTGACCCTAGACCGTGTGCAAGGTATCTCCAACTGGTACCCTTTCTTTTCTTTTTAACATGTTTTTTAAGATTTTTTTAGATTTTTTAGATTTATGGATTATAAACTGAGGAATTTTTTGCCAATACGGGATCCATGTGCGTGATGTGCCGATGAAAATTAAAACACAAATCCACTAGTCAAACGGGATCTATATAAACCGGAACTGAGTTCTCTAATTACTGTAGGGTTAGTAAAACATATATATGGGATTCCCGTTCCTAATCGAAAAAGAAAAAAATCATAGGGTAAAGGTATGAAATTAATTCACGGTATTTATGGGGGGTTAGCTGGGTGATATAAATAAATTACGAGTCTGCTTATTGGGCACCATGTGTGGATTTAATAGTTGAACCTATGTTTAATATTTTCTTGGGCCTTAGATTCTGCAAGGTATCACCAACGGAACCCTAGTGGATTTTAAAAAAGAAAAAAAATTTTAATGTTTTTGATTTGTGTTTAATTGTTTTCTCTTGTGTAGTCTGAAGGAATCTATTTAACACGCGCCCTCTTTTGGTTATGGTCCCAAAAAGCCCTATAAGCAAAATCGCCAACCCCTACCAAACCTTCTCCCAGATATAAGCCCCTATATCCGTAATTATCGGGAGTATAGAAACCGATAGAAGTGAAATTTCCCCATGGGCGGGTCCCATAAAAAAAAAATAGGTGAAAATAATAACAGGCAGCAAATTTTTCTTTTTTTCCTTTTTAACTTCAGTTGTAAATTTGTGTTCGTTGTTTTATTTCTCGGTTTTTTTTTAGTTTATCATCATGAAACTTTTATTTATTCTGAGCTAAAGCTTCTAATTATTCACATTATTCAAAATTACGATAATCAATAACCGAAATATCATTTAAATTATATATTTTTTATTTCCATTAAATTATTAAAGTGTTTAATTTTTGGTTTAAACGATATGAATGCCTTACTAATTTACATATATTTTTTTTAAATCAAATTGTAAAAAATAATAGTATAAACTATATAATTTTGACCGGTGGGCCCTCATGATTCCTCTGTTACCACATTGGTATTTTAACTGTGAATGTACCTTCTTTTTAATATTTTTCTACTAAATACAAGCTTAATTATCTAATATATTTTTTTACATTATAATTTTATTTGGCTCCTCTATAGATGTGATTCTATATTTAATACTGTTATTACGTGTTATTTTATTAATGTAATTATTATTAAATACAAAATTGTTTACTTAGATTATATTTCAAGAATGTCACAGAATTATGTAATATTTAATTTAATTTAATTTTTAAAGATTTATGAATGCTAGGAAATAGTTTTAAAAAATAACTCATTATTATTGAATTGTTTCATTTTATTGAAATCAACCAATTTGAAGATTACTCTAAATACATTAAGATTATTTATAAATGAATATTCTAAAATTTAATAATAGTTTTTCTATTAAAATTAATAAAAAAATTATCATTAACATATATTGAAAATTTAACATTTTTATTCGATTAGTTTTAAATAATCTCAAAAAAATAAAAAAAACTTTGATATATAATAAAAAATCATATAAACAACAAAATGTATTAATATTTAAGATTCATTTTTAAAGCCAATTACAAATTTATAATAACTACATTCGTTTGATTTATTTTTAAAAATTTAATTATCGACTTTATTATAAGTTTTTAAATTTTAGCTTCTTATTTAAAATAACATTTTCATGTAAAAAAACATTTTAAATTTCATAAATAAGTAATTCAAAATAAATTTTACCGATTTGTACTAAAATCAATATAAATAATTATATGTTACAATTAATTATTAAAACTTCTGATAAAAAAAATATACAACATCAATTAATTTACATATAATTAAATTATTATAATATAAATTATATGTTGTAAATTAATACTTCAATTAAAAACCTCTGCGAGGATCGTACACATTTAAAGAAATCTTGATAATTTAAAATTATTAAAAACCTAAAATAATTTTAAATCGTTCTTATAAAAATTTAGAATTACAATTTAGATAATTCGAATTTTAAAATGCTTAGAAAATGTTTATCAATTAATTTATAACTAAATTATTGATATTTTTAGATCAAAATTAAATTCATAATAAAAAAGAATTTGCTTTATATACAAGAATAATTAATAAAATTTTTTATTTGGTTTAAACAAAGTAAATTTGCTTTGGCTATTAAAAAAAAAGTGGTCATCTAATTATTCTAAAATATTTAATAAGAATTGCAAAATTGTATTAAAAAAATAAAGATCTAAAATGCCAGGAAATTGATTAAATTATTTAATTTTAGATCAATATAGGCATTATAATTGCATTCGTTTTTTTAAACGTATAATTAAAACTAATAACAATTTGTTAATTTATTTAACATATTGTTTAAAGTAAAATGGTAATTTAATTTATTTTAAATGTTTAGAAATGTATGTAAAATTTTATGTGAATGCCAGGAAATGATTAAAATTAATTTAGGATTAAATTATTAATTTTTAAATCAATAAAGGCATTATATTTAAAAATATTTTTTAAAGTAATAATTATTCGAATTTGTTCATTTATTTAACTTAGAAATGTATTTAAACGTTAATTTAAATTCATTTAAATGCTAGGAAATATTTAAAATTAATTTATTATTAAATTATTCATTTTTAGATCAATATAGGCATTATAATTACATTCAATTTTAAAAAAAACGTAATAATTAAAAATAATCACAATTTGTTAATTTATTTAACATATTGTTTAAATTAAATTTTTTATTTAATTTTTTTTTAAATGTTCAGAAATGTATTTCAATTTTTATGTAAATGCCAGGAAACGTTTCAAATTCATTTATGATTAAATTATTCATTTTTAAAATCAGTAAAGGCATTATATTTAAATAATTTTTTTTAAAATGATAACTATTAGAATTTGTTCATTTATTTAACTTATTATTTAAATTTTCATTTAAACTATTTTAAATGTTCAGAAATGTATTTAAATTTAAATTTTAATGTCAATCCATTTAAATGCTGGGCAACGTTTAAAATTAACTTATTATTAAATTATTCCTTTTTAAATCAGTGGAGGCATTATGATTAAATACAAATTTTAAATGAATAACTAATTATTATAATTTGTTAATTTTTTTAAGTTATCATTTATATGAAAATTTTTCATTTAAATTATTTTAAAAGTTCAGAAATGTTCAAAATATCCTCTAAAGCTCCTATATTGAAGGATAAAAGAAAAAAAAATACATATAGAAGCCTAAATGATTGTTTGGGATCTCCGGGGCTGGATAGATGGTGCTCGGAGGAGGGTAGGTGGGGGGGACAAGGTATGGTGCTCAGAGGTGGGTAGGGGGTGGACAAGGGATGGTGCTCAGAGATGGGTAGGGGGTGGAACCAAGGGATGGTGCTCGGAGGTGGGTAGGGGGTGGAACCAAGGGATGGTGCTCGGAGGTGGGTAGGGGGTGGAACCAAGGGATGGTGCTCAGAGGTGTGTAGGGGGTGGAACCAAGGGACGGTGCTCGGAGGTGGGTAGGGGGGTGGAACCAAGGGACGGTGCTCGGAGGTGGGTAGGGGGTGGAACCAAGGGACGGTGCTTGGAGGTGGGTAGGGGGAGGAACCAATGAACGGTGCTTGGAGGTGGGTAGGGGGTGGAACCAAGGGATGGTGCTCGGAGGTGGGTAGGGGGAGGAACCAATGAACGGTGCTTGGAGGTGGGTAGGGGGTGGAACCAAGGGATGGTGCTCAGAGGTGGGTAGGGGGTGGAACCAAGGGACGGTGCTCGGAGGTGGGTAGGGGGTGGAACCAAAGGACGGTGCTCGGAGGTGGGTAGGGAGTGGAACCAAGGGATGGTGCTCGGAGGTGGGTAGGGAGTGGAAGAAAGGGACGATGCTTGGAGGTGGGTAGGGGGTGGAACCAAGGGACGGTGCTCGGAGGTGGGTAGGGGAGTGGAACCAAGGGATGGTGCTCGGAGGTGGGTAGGGAGTGGAAGAAAGGGACGATGCTCGGAGGTGGGTAGGGGGTGGAACCAAGGGACGGTGCTCGGAGGTGGGTAGGGGGTGGAACCAAGGGACGGTGCTTGGAGGTGGGTAGGGGGTGGAACCAAGGGACGGTGCTTGGAGGTGGGTAGGGGGTGGAACCAAGGAACGGTGCTTGGAGGTGGGTAGGGGGTGGAACCAAGGGACGGTGCTTGGAGGTGGGTAGGGGGTGGAACCAAGGGACGGTGCTCGGAGGTGGGTAGGGGGTGGAACCAAGGGATGGTGCTTGGAGGTGGGTAGGGGGTGGAACCAAGGGATGGTGCTCAGAGGTGGGTAGGGGGTGGAACCAAGGGATGGTGCTTGGAGGTGGGTAGGGGGTGGAACCAAGGGATGGTGCTCAGAGGTGGGTGGAGTAGCTAAAACAAGGGTGACTCGGAAGGGAGGAGTTCCTGCACCTTTGCTCTGATAAATAGGTATCTATATCTCCAGCATAATAATACATGGATTTGCCTGAATCCTCCTCCTCCCTGGAGGGGGTGACGGAGGGAAAAACCAAAACACGTCCTCTCCACAATCCCTTCCTTAAGTTACCTTCTCCCTCCCCCCCCCCAGATGTCCTCTGAGGGGAACCCCTCAGGAGCCCCTCACCCAGGAGAGCACCACAGCAGGAGTGTCCTCTTCCTTCACTCTCCACATGGCCAGAACCCCAGCACCGCCCACCTAATAAAAGGGATTCCCATCACCTGACCCAGTCTCCACCCACCTACATTCCCCCCAATACAGACCTCTTCCCCAATATAGACCCCCCCCCCCAGTACTGATCTGTTCTCCACAGTACTGACCTCACCCCCTCCTACAGACGTACAGATCACAGGCACCCCAGTTCTGAACTCCCCCCCCCCAGTACAGATCAAAGAGACTTCCTCAGTTCAGACCCTCTCCTCCCAAGTACAGACTCCTCCCCTTCCCCAGTATAGGCAACAGACCCCAAGAGAGATACCCCCCCAGTATACCCCCCCCCCCCCCCATCAGTACAGACCTCTGCCCCTCCTCCAAGTACAGACATACAAAAGGCAGACTCAAATACACCTGACCCCCCCCACACACACAGTACAGACCTCACCCCTTCCAGTATACATCTCTCTCCCCCATCAGTACAGATCTCCCCCAGTCAGTACAGGCCTCACCCCTCCCTCCAGTACAAATCTCTCCCCCACCAATACAGACCTCCCCTCCCCCATCAGTACAGATCTCTCCCCCCGTCAGTACAGACCTTTCCCCTCCATCAGTACAGACCTTCCACCCTCCAGTACAGATCTCTCCCCCATCAGTAAAGTTCTCTCCCCCCCCCTCCCATCAGTACAGACCTCACACCTTCCAGTATACATCTCTCTCCCCCCATCTGTACAGATCTCCCCCAGTCAGTACAGGCCTCATCCACCACCCAGTACAGACCTCCCCTCCCTCCAGTACAAATCTCTCCCCCCACCAATACAGATCTCTCCCCCATCAGTACAGATCTCTCCCCTGTCAGTACAGACCTTTTCCCCCATCAGTACAGACCTACCCCCTTCAGTACAGATCTCTCCCCCCTCCGGTACAGACCTTCCCCCCTCCAGTACAGATCTCTCCCCCCTCCAGTACAGACCTTCCCCCTCCAGTACAGATCTCTCCCCCCTCCAGTACAGACCTTCCCCCTCCAGTACAGATCTCTCCCCCCTCCAGTACAGACCTTCCCCCCTCCAGAACAGATCTCTTCCCCCTCCAGTACAGACCTTCCCCCTCCAGTACAGATCTCTCCCCCCTCCAGTACAGATCTTTCCTCCTAGTCCCTCTTGTGGTTTGATGCTTGGAATAGACTTCCAGCAGAGGCAGTGAGTCAGTCCACAGAACGTGGATTCAGACATACATATCTACCACTCCTCTATGTACAGACCTTTCCTCCCCCAGTACAGACCCCTCCCCTTTCCCCAATACAGACCTTTCCTCCCCCAGTACAGACCCCTCCCCTTTCCCCAATACAGACCTTTCCTCCCCCAGTACAGACCCCTCCCCTTTCCCCAATACAGACCTTTCCTCCCCCAGTACAGAACCCTCCTCTTTCCCCAATACAGACCTTTCCTCCCCCAGTACAGACCCCTCCCCTTTCCCCAATACAGACCTTTCGTCCTCCAGTACAGATCCCTCCCCTTTCCCCAATACAGGCCTTTCGTCCTCCAGTACAGACCCCTCCCCTTTCCCCAATACAGGCCTTTCGTCCTCCAGTACAGACCCCTCCCCTTTCCCCAATACAGGCCTTTCGTCCTCCAGTACAGACCTCTCCCCTTTCCCCAATACACACCACAGATGCCAGTACAGACCCCTCCCCTTTCCCCAATACAGACCACAGATGCCAGTACAGACCTCTCCCCTTTCCCCAATACAGACCACAGATGCCAGTACAGACCCCTCCCCTTTCCCCAATACAGACCACAGATGCCAGTACAGACCTCTCCTCTTTCCCCAATACAGACCACAGATGCCAGTACAGACCCCTCCCTTTTCCCCAATACAGACCTCAGATGCCAGTACAGACCCCTCCCCTTTCCCCAATACAGACCACAGATGCCAGTACAGATCCCTCCCCTTTCCCCAATACACACCACAGATGCCAGTACAGACCCCTCCCCTTTCCCCAATACAGACCACAGATGCCAGTACAGACCCCTCCCCTTTCCCCAATACAGACCACAGATGCCAGTACAGACCCCTCCCCTTTCCCCAATACAGACCACAGATGCCAGTACAGATCCCTCCCCTTTCCCCAATACAGACCACAGATGCCAGTACAGACACCTCCCCTTTCCCCAATACAGACCACAGAAGCCAGTACAGACCCCTCCCCTTTCCCCAATACACACCACAGATGCCAGTACAGACCTCTCCCCTTACTCCAATACAGACCACAGATGCCTACAGATCCCTCCCCTTTCCCCAATACAGACCACAGATACCAGTAGAGACCCCTCCCCTTTCCCCACTACAGACCACAGATGCTGGTACCATCTGTGAGGGGGGGAGTGTGAGGGGGGATTTGGGGGGGGTTGTGCTAGAAGAGGTGATATGGTAAAGGGGGGAGGAGAATTGTGCTAGAAGAGGAAATTTTTTGGGGAGAAGGACTTGTGCTAGGAGGGGTGATTGGGGGGAATATGTGTGGGAGGGGGGATTTGGAGTGTGTGGGGGGGGATGAGTACTTGGAGGGGAAATTTAAGGGGACTTGTGGTAGAAGGGGTGATTTTTTTTGGGGGGGGAGGGGTCATTTGTGCTGTAGGGATATGGGGGATTGGAGGGGGGCAAAGATCTGTGGTTAGAGGGGGGACTTCAGCAGGGGGGTTAATTTGTATGCTTGGGGGATAAACATGTACAATAGTTCTCAATTTTAGGGGGGAGATTTTTGCTGAAACATAATGTTCATATATCTTGGGGGGGGTGCAGTTTGGCCTGTTGCCCCGGGCTCTAGATGGCCCTGTTCCGGACTGGAACCTGCTGCTGGCCACCAGCCTCTCTGCCCTGATAGACGTGGAGGGTTGGTGTGATGTACCGGCTGCACAGCAGGGAGCGCTATGGAATATGATCCATAGTGCGGGGGGGGGCATTATATGGGGGGGGTGATGGAATATGATCCATAGTGGCGGGGGGGTGATGGAATATGATCCATAGTGCGGGGGGCATTATATGGGGGGGAGGTGATGGAATATGATCCATAGTGCAGGGGGGGTATTATATGGGGGGGGTGATGCAATATGATACATAGTGCCGGGGGGGTGATGGAATATGATCCATAGTGTGGGGGGGGGCATTATATGGGGGGAGTGATGGAATATGATCCATAGTGCGGGGGGGTATTATATGGGGGGGGGGGTGATGGAATATGACCCATAGTGCCGGGGGGGTGATGGAATATGATCCATAGTGCGGGGGGGGGGCATTATATGGGGGGAGTGATGGAATATGATCCGTAGTGCGGGGGGGGGCATTATATGGGGGGGTGATGGAATATGATCCATAGTGCGGGGGGCATTATATGGGGGGGGTGGAATATGATACATAGTGCGGGGGGGGGACATTATATGGGGGGTTGATGGAATACGATCCATAGTGCGGGGGGGGGGCATTATATGGGGGGGGGTGGAATATGATACATAGTGCGGGGGGGGACATTATATGGGGGGGTGATGGAATACGATCCATAGTGCGGGGGGGGGGGGGGCATTATATGGGGGGGTGGAATATGATACATAGTGGGGGGGGACATTATATGGGGGGGATGATAGAATATGATCCATAGTACGGGGGATGGGGGGACATTATATGGGGGGGTGATGGAATACGATCCATAGTGCGGGGGGGGGCATTATATGGGGGGATGATGGAATATGGTCCATAGTACGGGGGATGGGGGGACATTATATGGGAGGGATGATGGAATATGATCCATAGTGGGGGGGGGGGCATTATATGGGGGGGGATGGAATATGATCCATAGTGCGGGGGGGACATTATATGGGGGGGGTGGAATATGATCCATAGTGCGGGGGGGCATTATATGGGGGGGATGATGGAATATGATCCATAGTGCGGGGGGGGGGCATTATATGGGGGGGATGATGGAATATGATCCATAGTGCGGGGGATGGGGGGACATTATGTGGGGGGGTGATGCACTGCCTGACTCTCCTGTCATGAGACAAGGAGGTCACACGGGCCCCCTGGAGCACGGGTAGAGTCACCATTGTGACCCCTGCAACCCCTGAAGCTCTGCCCATGCTTCACTAACATCTTCACAATGAATTTGTAACTTTTTTTAAAATCGATCTTTAGTTCCTTAGAGTTT